TATATATATATATATATATATATATATATATATATATATATATATATATATATATATATATATAGACGTGTCGTTGTGATACGAGTTGCAAGCACGAATTCCCTCACGATATTGAGTCATGTCCCATCTGTCAGAATAACAAAAGTGTCAGTCAAGGAAAAATTTTCAAGGTCCTGCGCATGAAGCTTGCGGTTGCGTCTGCAGGGCAAAGACGTCGAATTCAAAGTCATGTACTGTGTTGCCCTTGTCGTCGACTGCACTTTTTCCTCTTTTTCTGTTGCCTGCATTGTAGTACTGTGTTGCCACATCTGCCACACGTGTGTCGCAGTCGAGCTTGAAAATGCAGAAACTCATAACTGTGTCTCGGTTCCGGACTGTATTGATTATGTTGTTCTTAATAGCGGCAATTTTCAGCAACTGACCCGATGCCTTGCTTGACTTTTTTGTCTGCTCTATTTTTGTGCGAATCACGAATTCGGTAAACGCTAGTTGCTGCAAAGTCACGCCAAGCTTTCCGTCATCCCTTCTTATTTGAAAGACTTTTGTGAGTGCCCTCTTAAAATGCTCTGCTCTCCATGGCTCGTCGCCCTTCCTTCTCCATGTCTTGTCTTTATTCATTTGGCTACGAATATCGTTTCCCGCGGTGTTATTGTGACCCGACTGCGTGCCACGTACGAGCGGGAAACCTCTTTCTGCCCAAAACCAGTGTCTCAAGTACCAAGTCAACTCTCCACGGACCGTTGTCATCATTCGGTTGCACTCTATAAGCACACACCGCACACCATTGTCCTCTACATACTTCACGAATCCTACCCTCACATCTTCTCCTAAAAGGTTAGCAGTCAACTGCAACACATTAAAGAAGTCGTTCTCTGAAGGATAGAATGCTGCATCCCAAGCTGTCGAGTGTACAAAAGTTTTTGCAACGGACCTCAACAGTCTGTTTTTTTGCCTTTTTCCGAATAAGTCGCATTCATCTCGCATGCCACCCGCCCAATGCTTGACCTTTTTCACCTCCTTTTGACAATGTCTCCCTCCTTGTAAAATTTGGCGGCCTGCAACAACGTGTATAACAACCAGAAGTTGGAAGTTGATATCCGCCACTCACATACATTTGTTTGGCAGGAGAAACAACCACAACCGCACATACATATTCAAGGTTATCTCAGGTTTCTTTATCGAAAAACTGCTTAACATTTCGCTACCATTTTGCACTACCGGCAGGTGATGACAACAGTTCAAGCAAAACAACATGTCAACAGATCATTTCCGTCAGAGGTTTTGATTTCTCTCATACATTGTTTACTTACGTCCTTCAATTGCCTTCTTCTTCAGAACTAACTGTTTGTCGGTGTTGCTTTCCTCCCTGCCTTTATCACTTGTTCCTCCTTGCGTTTTTCGATACGTCTTTTTTCTATTGTCCTCGCTACGCCTTTATTCCCTCCTACTGCTTTGGGATGGTTCTTCGTCATCATCATCCTCGTCATCATCATCCTCTGTGTTGTTATACCCATTGTGACTGTCCTCCTCTTCGTTGCTCTCATCTTCTCCATACGCTTGTTCTTCGTTCAATGTGTCCGTGTTACCTCCTTCACCGTCCTCTGTCTCATCATATTCTTCACTGTCGGTCTTGTGGTCCTTAACTGCTGCGTTCCGTGACACATCTCGTTTTTCGCCCTTAGCACCCTCGACACCTTCGGATCCCCTCAGATCGATTGTCACCTTCTCTTCCCATTCTTTCTCAATGGTTCTCCTCCTCTTCACATGTCCGGTGTTCTTCTGAGGTTGTCCTTCGCTCCCTTGTTCGCATGACTTTTTATTTGGCGCATGTGGCGGAGAATGCTCCTGTCGCATGCGATCCTTCGTGAATGCGGGAGAGGGGGGGGCCGACTCTTGCAGGTCCCGACGTTTTGCATCAGACCTGTTCGCTTGCGGCGGCACTGGAACCAGGGACAACATCCGTGGCAAGATCCTTGTGAAGCATGTCGGCTCGTGCTGTTTCGGATCCCGTTTCCTATAGTCCTGTAATATGCAACCCCCTGTCCTTCGAACTTCGGAGATCGTCCAGGTGGCACCATCATGGTTCATCAGATCTCCGTGTGCTCTGCACCCTCAGTCCAGCACAATTCGTCAAATCAGAGCAGGAGTTGCGTCATCGTCAATGGCGTGATCTTCGTGAAGCTGCTGATTCGTGTTGCTCGGGGGACACGTGGTGATTTTTTCATTCGATCGCCTCGCTCAGAAAGGTCGTAGCTAAGAAGAGGGTGGGATGGGCACGTGTCAGGTATCAGCGTCACGTGGGGATGGGAAAATAGACATTATACATTAGGGGGTGTTGACGGGGAGGGTTGGGGGGGAGTGGGGGTAAGTAGTGGTTCATCCCTTTCTCGGTGATTGGAAGTTTCTCGTAGCGGATGATCCGGTGAAAGCGGGAAAGCCGATCGCCGCTATGAGGGAGGGAGGCGAGGTAATCAGGGTAAAGGGTGGAGAAAGTGCGGAAGAGTGCCGCGCGAAATGACTCGTGATGGCGACATGCGGGGATGGTTCCTGTGATTACGCAGTAGACTTCTACTGCGTTACTTTGTTCCCACGTGACACTGAACAAAAGGACGTGCAAACAGAACTGGGGTTTGCGCATTGAAGGGAAGGGTGGGGATGGACGGTGACGGCGAAACGGGTGGAGTAGAAGTGATGGAAGGTATTGGGAGGAAAGGGGTTGCGAGGGAAGGTGACGGGGGTAGAGATCTAGCAGAGGGTGAGGTAATCAAGGGGACGGCGGGATAATGACCGGGGACGAAGGTCGATCCCCCGCATCAGTACGTAGACGAACTGGGGGACGGGCTGGTGCGGAGGATGGGGAGGGGGATCGGCTCCGTCTCCGTCGCGATGCGTTCAGAGCCGTGGTTGCTGGGCCGCCATCTTTGGGCTTGGGAGGCTCTGGATCCCTGGTCGGGTCGTCGTCGATGCGCAGGTTCGCCTCACTGGCGAACTCCAGCTGGCTTTTTCCGGCGGCGATCTCTTCCCTTCTACGTGCTGCCTCTGGATCTTCCGCCTCCGTGCCTGTGCGCGCTACTTCTTCCGACAAAGCCTCCCAATCCGATCCGGCTTCCTCCTCTTCTTCTTCACTCTGCTCCCCTTTGTGGTACTCACTATAACATCCTTCCTTCGACGTTTCTTCGTCGGCGTCGCCCTCTTCTTCGGTGGCTTCTTCTTCCCCTTCAAGCGCCTCCTCAAATCTTCCTTCGGATAGAAGGCATAATCGATGATTCCGTACGACTTTAAGTACTCCTGCCGCGATGGCAGAGTGCTTTCACTCCCGGGTTCTTCCAAGCATGCAGTCCACTGAAGATACGGCGCTAATGTCCGCGTGATGACGTGCGGAGCCGGACTGTCGTCACTTTGCGAAACGATGTCGAGAGAGAGATCGTCAGCCAGTTGCGTGAGCGGGACGACGAGTTCTTGAGTAATTGGCTGGCGATGGCCTGGCTACACCGATCCGAATAGGAAACCGAGAAGATCACCTTCCACGTCAGTTCTCCAAGTCTGTAGGATCAACAACTCCAGGTACTCATTGCACACAGGATGCTCGCTGGTCCGCGTCCACGTCACTTGCACTTGGGCCAAGCACACAGACAGATCGACAAAGGTCTCGCGCCACACCTGCCAATGCCCGGGATCAAGGAGCGGGACGACAAGAGGCTCGAGCAGGAAAGAAAGGCGAGGATGGAGATCGGATTGCCAGAAGGTGGGGAAAAGAGAGGGGAGAGCGAAGGTGGAAAGGGGAGCGAGAGGAGCGGCGCGGTTCATTGGGGGCGTTGGAAGGGGATGAGGGTGGGGAGCACGACTGCCAGCTCGCGCGGAGAGGTGCGGATTCCGTCGAAGTCAGTCCCGAACGTCGGGACTAGATTGTTCCCAGGACGCGCAAGACCGGGATGCCACTCAGCTGACAACTGCTGCGTTCACTCTCGTAAAGAGGTCAAGATCGCGGTATGCCGAACTGGGCTGACCACACTGATGTCGCCGCTGAAGGTAGTCAAAACCAGGGACGCCCTCTTCACCCGCCATGCAAGTATTTGGACCTTCCATGACGATGCTGCCTTTAAATCCACAAACGACAAAGTGGGATGGATTAGAGAGAAGCTAGCAGCATTCAAAGGCTCCCCCGCGAGTGTGCACGAACTGTTCCTGATTCAACCCGCCTCGTCGGCGGTCATCACCGTCCAGTGCGTATCAGAGGTTGACAAAAGAACGATGGACGGATGGAAATCCTTCAGATGTGAAAGATCGGAGGTTCGCATCTACCCGTGGACTCCCCCAAAACCACGGCGACCGGAGAAACACAGAGAACAAATGATGAGGGAGCATTTTTGGCTGGAATTTCGACACATCCCGGTCGAAATCCAAGCAGCCTTCGTCCAGGATTTTGCCGAAAAATATGATGTGGTGGATTTTATTGACCCTTTGCCCCCTCGTGTGGCTCGAATGGATGACTATTTGATGCTAGCCATCAACCTGGTAGATGAGCACATCTTCTCTCTTGATTACGTTATCCCCTTCTGTGTGGGGGGCAAACTGTACCGCATCCACACTGCCCACAAACACAGACCTTGGTGCTTCAAACGCCAAGCTTACGAGCACCTGTTCTCCGACATGGCCTGCACTCGCCATCCCTCACACATAGTAAAACCCACACGCCGACTGCGGAAGGATCCCTTTGACGAATCTAAGTGGCGGACGGTCGACACAGGCTACGAGGGGTGGGTCTACATTGACACGCCTGGTGGGAAAGAGGGGGATGGACGTGGGATGGACGTGGGAAGGGCAGGGGGATCCGCGGCAGAACTCCCAGCCTCCAGCAATGTGGACCCCCCCTAAATCCCTAGAAACACATCTGAAGCGCCCCCCCACAGGCCCCAAAAAACAGGAAACCTGGGTGGTCGTTGGAAGCAAAAAGAAGGAGAATTTGCAGAAGGATCCGGCGGAAGCGGACAAGGAGGCGGCAACCAGCGGAGACAAAAGTAACCGATTTGCCCCCTTAGCGGATTAGATGCATCTGGATGAACCGCTAGATCCAAATGGGGGGCCGAAGCAGATCCCCGGGGAAAAAACAGCCCTGGAGCACCAGATGATTTCCAAGGAAAGAGAAACAGACTGTCAGATTCACAGGCAGACCGATGAACTGGATAAGGGAGCATCTGGGGGGCAGCACACACACGGGCAGGCTCGCGTATTGGAAAAGGGAGCATCTGAGGGGCAACACACACACGGACAGGCTGGCGTATTGGAAAAGGAAGCATCTGGGGGGCAACACACACCGCACACACAGCATGCGCAGGGCCATCCGGGGATGCGACTGAAGCAGTAGGCAATAAGTTTGCCATCATAGTACACAACGCAACAACTGCAACAGCTGCAGCACGACCAGGCGCAGCAACAGTCCCCAGACCAAGCACAACAGCTAGAACAATCGGAACAGAGGAATGCGCACTCTCTGGCCCCAGACTTCTGCTAAGATGCTTTCGGGGCACAACAGATGGAGGTGGATACAACTCCACCTCCCCCTGACGTAGAAATGGAGGAGTCCCCGAAAGACCCGACTTACCAGACGCTCCTCCACAAGAAATGAGCCTGGACCAGAAGGTCCAGGTAGTGGCGGATTGGATACTCAAGCACTTGCAATCGGATTGTCTGCATGAGAATGGAGAATACTGGGATAAGTCCTACATTGAATTGGTGACACTTCTGAATAGCAGCCCATCTCCGAGAACCACGCTAACATCCGGACCACCTTCCTATTTGACGTGGGCGGAAGCCTTTCAGCGGATTTTGGCAGTCGCTCGTGGGCGATTCCGCCCCACGTCCGAGACGGGCCCTCACCCCTCCAACTACGAACGGGATGGGGAAGGAGTGAAAGCAACAATGGAAGAAGGAATGGCGTCCCGAAGACTAAAAGTAAGACAACTCATAGAACGGGGCCTCTTTGAGACGCCATTTTCCAAACCGAATGGCGTGCTAGTGATCCCCCTCAGAAAGACTGAAGGGAAATGGAAATTAGGTCTCTCCCCAGTAGGAGAGTACGGGTGGGTAACATTACACGGATGGGAATTTGCGCCCCATGAAGGAGACAAATGGTAAATTGTCAAAGCCTTCACTGCTCAAATGCGTACCTTTATTCCTAAGCAGTACGCACCTGGGGCCAAGGCAGGCCTGAGATTCGAAGACTGTGACGTGCAAATGGCAAAGAACGACTTGTACTTGCTTTTTGATCCGGGTAAGTCTGCCAGCCTCGGCTGGTATAACCACAATTCTCTTCTGGACCTGCAGTGTGCAAAAGTTAAGGCCATTGAATTTTGGTCCGAAGATGATGTCTGCAGCTACCTTTGCGGGATGGTCCGAAAAAAAGTCCTACATCTTGACAAATGGGATGTCAAGCAATGACACCCACTATGAGGCCTTGATCACATGCTGCAATGGATGACCTTGAAACACTATACTGCAGAAATCACGCGTGGAAAAAATGTGTAGACTCAGCTGACCTAGACTTGCGCTCCATCAATGTAAATGGCTTGGCATCTTGTAAACCTGAAAAACGGCAAGCCATCTGGGATCAGCTTAAAGGAATAGGAGACAGGCGTTGACCAGATGTGATCTGCATACAAGAAACACATCTGCAAGACAACCCGGATCATAACAGGGCTCACAAACAGGTTTGGCCTCACACCGCCATTAGGGCACACGCACCAAAACCTGGTTCTGCAGGCGTGGCAATCTGGGTCCCCCCGGACTCCAGATTCCAGTCAGTCCACTGGGTAGTGAACGATGAAGAGGGACGGTGGGCCTCGGTCCTCGGTATGCTAGAATTAGAACTGCTTAGAACTGCTTTGTATTCTCTGTATCTACTCTCCAAACTCAGTAGGAGAAAGGAAAGAGTTTCTGGGAAGGATAGGAACACAGTCCCGGAAAGTATCCCTTTAGTCATAGCAGGGGACTTCAATGCTACCCCTGATAGGTGGCTAGACAGATGGAGCCCGCATAACTCCCCCTCCTTTGCGGCGGCAGGAGATGAACAAATGCTTGCTGATCTTGGCGCGACACTCTCAGTCTTTGATACCTTCCGCCGCTTGCACCCCCAAGAACGGGCCTTTACATGCATACTAGACAACGACCTTGCACGTCTATCGAAATCACGCATCGATGTTATTTTGCTCTCCAATGACCTGGAGGGGGTCCTGCGATGGGCACTGATCCTCCCACGCAGTCCCCACCACGGACTGGACCATAAAACATGCGGAATAATATTAACAATGAGAAAAAGACCCGATCAAGGGCCGGTCTTCTTCAAAATGAACACCTCCTTTCTTAAGGACTCTTCCTTTGTACAGATGATTCGCTCAGAATGGGAATTCTGGTGCCATCAAAAACACCTCTTTGACTCTCGTCTCGTGTGGTTTAACAACGACCTAATTTTCTTAGCTGGGAAATGCAAGGAATTTGCCAAAGCCAAAGCGACCCTACGACAGCATCAGGAAAGGACGACACATAACGAGCTCATATCCCTGAAACGACAGGTAGAGTCACAACACCCTCCCCCCTCCCCCCAAGAATGGCAGCGGCTCACCTCCTCCATCCAAAAAGCAAAGGACCAACTTCTGCAATACGCAATGCATAGATGGCAAGGGATTAGGATCAGAGGCGAAATGGCCAAACTTACTCACGACGCCTCAATGGATACTTATTTTTTCTCAATGGCCACTGCCCGTTCGCGTAGGACTATTCTGTGACCCGGAGGACAACAATATCATTGCCACCGACATAGCGTATTGTACATTGATCACCAGGACGTTCTTCAAACAGCTATACACGTCTCATACCCCTTCCCCCCACGAGGAAGAACGAATCAGGGAGATACAAAATTTCCTGCGACCAATGGACCGACGCATATCCCCGTGCCAGCATGACAAGCTGGAGAGAGAGTTAACGAAGGAAAAAGTGTGGTTAACACTTCTCCAAATGAAGGAAGAGAAAACCCCCGGCATCGACGGTTTTCCCAAAGAATTATGGGAAGCCACCTGAACGGATCTGAGCTTTGACTTGTGGGAATATTATGGGGATGTGTGGGAAGCCGGTGAAATGAGGGAAACCATCGGGAAAGGCGTACTATCCCTTCTATATAAGAAATGTGACAAAATGAACATCAGGAATTATAGACCTATTACACTGCTTACTGTGGTCTATAAAATGCTTTCCAAAACACTGACCAATCGTATGGCAACTGTTCTGGAGGACGTCATACATCCGGTGCAAACTGGTTTCATGTCCGATAGGAACATACAAGAGAACATCTTGCTAGTCAACGACGTGGTGCAGCTAGCGCGACGATATCGGGCCAATGCGACCATTATCTTCATAGATTTTGAGAAAGCCTACGACCACGTGGACTGGGACTTCTTAGACAGATGTCTGGAAAGAATGAACTTCGGACCGGTCTTTCGACGCTGGATTAAGATCCTCCATACTCATGCCACCACCTGTGTGCAAGTCAATGGGTCAGTTGCACCTCCGTTTGAGCTCCAGCGCTCGGTGAGGCAGGGAGACCCGATTGCCCCCTACCTCTTCTTGGTGATAATGGAAGCACTGTCAGCCAACCTTCGCCATCACAAGGATCTTACTCGAATAAAGATATCCAATATCCCCGAGGAAGCAATCCCTATCTGCTCCCTTTTCGCAGACGACCTCACCATAATGACAGAAGCGACAAAATCTAACATGAAGAAAATCCAGCTGCTTATGAACAAATTCTGCCTACTATCAGATATATCTGTGAATTGGGGACATAAGACGATTGGATGGTGGATGCACCATCAAGGGGGAAGACCCCCGGAATCTCCGTGGATTACATGACACTTTCATGATGATCCGCTAAGAATCCTGGGGGCACTCGTCACCGCCAATGGGAAACCATCATCCAATGATGAATGGTTGGCCGGACCGGCACATTCCAAATTGGAAAAATGGAACAATAAACACACCTCCATTTTCGGACGAGCGCTTGTTACAAATAATGTAGTCCTGGCCACCCTCTGATACAAAGCCATTCTATGGCCCTTAAGTACAGGGGGGATCAAGGCATTGAAACAACAGTTGGCGGTCTTCCTCTGAAGACGCGACAACAACAAATCCCATGTCATAAGCCGAGTGGCATGGGAATCAGTGATTCAGCCCAAGAGTGGAGGAGGACTTGGAATTGTGGATCCGGCCACATAATTTCAAGCCCTCATGATTCGCTGGTTTCAATG